GTTCCTGCTATAAGATCCAAAGATGTGACCTTCCAGTTGTGTAAAGCTCTTAAAGGCTGTCTAAGTGTATCAAGTGTGCTGAGGAACCTGGAGTTAAATGGACTAGTTCTGAGAGAGAGGGATTTAATTATTTTAACAAAGGTAAGCCTTCTTCAGTGTGGCCTGCAAACGTTTCATAGTTGTTTTGTAGGGGGAAATACTCAATAAATTTTTTTAACTCTTTTCCTCTAATAAAGGGATTGAATAAATCGACTTCTTTGGTGCACCTGTCTCTTGCAAACTGTCCAATTGGAGATGGAGGTTTAGAAAGTGAGTTTAAATCTTGTTTAACTTTTGACCCATCAGACTGGTCTCATATTTGCCTATATGCCATATTAATCCCTGTCTGGTTTTATATTAATACCCTTTTCTGGCTGCTGCTTCTGTCTGAGCTACCTCCTATGCCTCTTTATATCTTGATCCATTATCACTTCTACCCTTAAAGCTTATCATGTTGATTACTCTCTGAAGTAACTTTACTAAAGGATGTGTTAAGCCACAAACCACACAAACCTCTTCTGTCTGGTATTCTGTTTTTTGTGTTTATTCATCTTTTAGGGTTTTCCTTTTAAGAAATATTTATGGGAATGGCAATAGCAACATGTAAAGAGGAAAAATCATTATTTTTAAATGGCATCTATAATGCAGTCTTAATGCACTGTGTGGTGTGTGCTAAAATAGAAAATATATGCTAAGTGCTATGGGAGCATATAAAAGGTCAGTGAACTCTTTGGCCGGGAGAGGGCTGGTCATGGAGATAATTACAAGAGGTCATCTGTTGATTGGGGTCCTGAAGAATTGGTGTGTGTTCAGTGTGTGGAATCATGGTCTGGAGGGGTAAGGAAGCTTGCATTTCAATCTGAACAGAGTTTAAGGTCCTCTATCTTCTGTTGCTCTTGTATCTTATGTGCTTTGGTAGAGCACCTAGTTATGTTAATAAGAGCACCTGATGTAGTTCTGGGTTTATAGTTGACATTTAAATTGATGATCAAGACCAAAAGTATGTTCTTGGAAATAAAATAGAAAAACATCATGTTTTAGACTTTTCTTTTTCTTTCAGATGACTCAAAAACTCTATAATACTTTACTCTATGATTGGGAATACAGAGTTTTCAATTTTAGCATCAATAGGATTATGTTATTGCTGTAAATTAGAATAACACTTTGTCACAAACATGTTGTAGAATGTACCAATCCATTAGTTTTTGGAAAGAGTATAGAGAGTGATTTTTAAGAATACAGCTATAAACTAAAATATACTCAAGAAAGTTTAGGCCAAGTGTGGTGGCACACACTTGTACTCCCAGTAGCTCAGGAGGCTGAGGCAGGAAGATTGTAAGTTGGAGGCCAGTCTCAGCAACTTAGAGAGGCCCTAAGCAACTTAGCAAGACCCTGTTTCAAAATAAAAATGGGGATGTGGGTAAGTGGGTAAGTGCCCCTGGTACCAAAAAAGAAAAAAAGAAAAGGATTGACCAGGTTGATTAGTCTCTTCAGTTTATTGTATGTGTCTTTTTTTTCCCCCCCTTCTTTTTAGTTATTTGTCAAGCTGTAAAGACCTCTATCACTCTTAAGACAGTCAACTTCACTGGGTGTAGTCTGACATGGCAGGGAGCAGATCACATGGCCAAGATCTTAAAGGTGACTTTGTATTCAGAAGTTTGTGAAAATGTGTTATGTATTTGAAGCACAGTAATACTTTGGTATGAGATGGCAATTATTTTTATCTTTTCATTCATATGGTGATTGTAATTATATTTCTAATGAAAGAATGTGACCTGTGTTTAGCTTGGGGTTCTACCATTTAGTAAGATATGTACTTAATCTTAGATGAGATTTTAAAGTATAATGCATTATGAATTATACATTTGTGTACCTTTAGTTATTGAAAATATGTTTTGGGCACTGAAAGAAATTTTGTGCATTACAGTCTTCATATTACTTCAGTGACTCAAATATTAACTGCTATTATATATGAACCAATAAAAATCATAGTTTTTAA